TTTTAAAAAAAAGACATTTTTTTATTAAAAATATTATATTATAACAAATATGAAAGTAAATTTTAAGATATTTAAGTAAAACTTTTTACATATATTATTAATTATATTTATAATTATAATTATTAATATATATAATTATATTAATATTAATATATTAATATTTTGGATCCTCTCACTTTCTCTACCTCTCTCTTTTCTTTGCAATAAGCATCTTCCAGTCTGGCTAAAAAAATTATTGTAACATTAATGTAAAAGTAAAAATGATTTTAGAGGAAATTATTATTTTTAGCTAATGGCTTTCATCACAACACAGTACAGTATAGATATTCTTCTACATATTCTTGCATCTTGCGTTCCATGGGTAGCCTACACGTTAAAATATAATTTTCTCTGCTTAAACTCAAGACCGGTAAGAACATTTGATCAAACTCGAATATTTATAGGGATACTTATAGAACTTGTAGCAAAAATAAATGATTATCATTAATTCCATTCAGGATATTTTCCAAAAATCATAATAAATAAATATCATTTCATGAATATAGATACGACGCCTTATGGAACGAATCTATTATGATTGGACTGAATTAAATAACGTGCAAGAACTTGAATTAATAAAAAAGTATTCAGCTTTTGGAAAACTTCTCACATTGATTGTAACATGTAAGCAATATTTCAAATAATCTTTTGAGATTTGATTCCATATTTATTTATTTAATTGCAGTGATCATATATACAACTATTTTCTGCTTCATCCTAATAATGTTTCTGTCAAATATTTTTCTAAATGTTTCAACTACTATGAATGAATCACGCCAAGTACAACTTCCAGTCCTAGCAGAATATTTTATAGATCAGAAAACATATATTGTCCCAATCATTTGTCACATGGGTTTTGTTCATTTGTGTGCATTTACTAGTATGATAGCCAGTGAAACGCTTCTTATGTCATGTGTACAACATGCATGTGGATTATTCGAAATAGCCAGGTAACACGAATTTTAAAATGTCAATTAATTTCTAATGCTTTGCAAAGATGTTGCAGTTATCAATTTCAGTTATCGCATAGAACGAGCATTACACAAAGACACGGTACATGGTATTATATCTTTCACCAAAAGAAATTCAGTAATATGTCGAGGGATAATCAATGGGTTCAGTATGTACACAAAAGCTGTCGAGTATGTAATTATTATTTGTAATATAATTAGAAGCTTTTCTATTGTAACATGCGATTCTTTTTTAACTAATTTAACTTTTTTCAAATTTATAATTCATTACATGTCATACGAGTATTATATAAGTTATTAATACATAACTAACAACAATTATCATTTACAATTCTTTATATAAGTAGTCTTTATGTATACTATTTTAGGTTTATTGAAATATTAAAAATATATTGCAAATGGGCATATTCATCGTTATTACCGTTAGGAGTATTGTCGCTGAGTATTAATCTTTATCGCGTGAGTAATTATATTTATATAGATATTAATTCATTTATAAAAGCTGAATAATTAATATATTTTAATATAAATATTAAAAATGCTATCAATGTGGTGTGCTTATTATAATTATATTCATAAATAAAAAGTTTACTACTTCTTTTTCATGGAAATAAGATAATTATTCATATGCTACAGTTTTCTCATTTAGTGACATCCGAGGAACATTACGACATGATCATTAGTTTCATCTTCATCGTTGCCCATTTTGGATACATGTTTTTTTGTAACTATGTAGGACAGGAACTAATTGATCACAGCAGCGATGTTTTTTATAAAACGTGAGCAAATGAATATACAGGTTTAATTCTTAATTGATATATCAAAATAATCACAATCAGAGTCTCTTGTTTCTAATTGTTTATAATATATTGTTTATAAGTCTGCTTGTTTTACTTGATTTTTATTAAATAAAAGCAAAACAAACAGGTCTAAGTTGTATTACGCAATCAATTAAGAGTTAAAGAAATGTAAATCTGCGATATTATCAAAGTTTTAATATTAAGTTATGATTTTCTAATGACAAGATTTTAGGTACAACCTACGATGGTACGTAATTCCGTTGAAAGCACAGAAGTTATTGTTACTTGTGATGCAAAGAAGTATGCGACATTGCACGGTCGTCATTGGTGGATTGTTTATTGCATCATTAGAGGGATTTGCCACGGTATAAATTTTAACAACAGTAATAATATTTTGTTAAATAGGTTTGCTTTAAATTTACTAAAATAAAACTTTTATTGTAGATTGCAAGCATGTCAATATCGTATTTTACAGTATTATTTTCTCTTTTTTAATTATCGTTTTTTGATCCATATGATAAAAATTAAATTTTAAAACGAGAAATTTTAAATTTTCCACGAGTAGTAATTCTGAAATTAAACATATATCATACACTCAAGTATAAATATATAATATAAATATAATTACATTATATTGTCATCGTTACTGGACACAAAATAAACATAGTGTTGTAATGTTTTATTAATTCCTTAATATTTAGATTGCTCTTCTACAAGATATGATACAATTACTACCGTGTTTTCTATTACATTTACAATAATATTATGAATATAAGTTTCTGTTATTACATAAAAATTAATTAATGCAGAAATAAAAAGATGAAGACTTTACGACATATAATTTTATAGAAACTTTATAAAATTTTTTACAGTAGATTCCTACAAAATATTTACAGTATATACAATATTTATATATAATTAGATATCGCCAAATGATCTAAAAAGTTCTTGTTGATTGTTAATCACTTGTGTAAGATATTATATAATAATTTCTGATTTTTATAAATGTAATTATTTTCTGATTTAATGGCCACAAATTTAACAGAAATGCAAAAGTATTATTAAATGTGTTTTTTTAAGATATAAAATAATTTTTAAACATACTTATAATCCCTAGTTATATGTTATAATATAATTTTTTATATGTTATAATGTAAGTATAAGTAAGTAATAGTTTATATGTTATGTAATTAATGTATTGTATCAATAATTGTGTTAGCTTACTTCAGTTTTGATATAATCCAAAATCTTTATTATAATGGTAAACGTAATTTTTACTGTGTTTGCCAATAATTACACAATAATCTTTTTAATTCGTTTTGAATCAGTTTAACACATTAGCACACATTATTTCACATCACAGTTGCGAGCAAAGTATTGCAACATGCCGCATCTTGAATAGAAATGAATGAACATTGAAAACGTGTGAAAACAAAGTTACAATTGCGCTTGCGTCGATCGATCATGAGAGAGAAATATCAAATACGCTGAAAATAAGATAATTGGTTTATCATGCATGTAATAATATTCATTCGCGACGATCATAGATACAAACACAAGTCATATATAAAGAACCTGTTATCTATATAACTTCAATAAACTATAGTTTTTATGATACTTTTACACGAGATCGGAATTTTTAATAAAAATTAATTGTAAAAATAGCGAATTAGTTTACAATCTATAATGTACAATCAAACATTCTGAATTTATGTGATAACTTGTGGAAAGAAATTCGACACAATCGCATTATGGCATTTGCACCAAAGCAAGATTGTTCTGTAGACAATTACTACGCAATCAATCGAATTTTATTATTATGTGTCGGTTTATGGCCATATCAAAAATCTAATTGGAGATACATTATAATAACATTTTTTACTATAACATTCATATTGTCCATAGTATTTCAGGTACAATAATTCTTTCTATCTTACGTCTCTAATTAATTTTCATTGTGTATTATTAAAATAAAGAAATATAAAGAATTTAGAGAAATTTAATATAAAATTTAACATGAAGTATTCTAAAAAATACTACATATAATTATTTTCATTAAAAAAAGATATTCTTTTTTATTAAAAATATTACGTTATAACATAGAATAAATTTTGTTTTATTAAAAATATTACATAATAAATTTGTCTAACATTTAGGTAAATCTTTTTACAGCACATATATTAATAATTACACATTTTGAATCTTTTCTCTTAATTCCTCTTTCTTTTTAAAGCGAATATCTTCTATTCTGGCCAAAATATTATCGCTAACATAAAAGTAGAAATGATCTCAGTGAAAAATATTATTTTTAGTTAACAACTTTTATCACGACACAATACAACACAGATATTCTTCTACATGTCCTCGCATATAGTGTCCCATGGCTAGCCTACACGTTAAAATATAACGCTCTCTGCTTAAACTTAAGACATGTAAGAACATTTGACATATCTAATTTGGATACTTATAGAGATAATTATAGCAAAAGTAAATGATTATCATTGATTCCATTCAGGATATTTTCCAAAAAAGTATGAAATATCTTGCTTTATGAATATAGATACGAGATCTTATGGATCGGATATATTACGATTGGAATGAGTTAAATAACGTGCAAGAACTTGAAATAATAAAAAAATATTCGGCTCTTGGAAGATTTATCACATTGATTACAACATGTAAGTAATATTTTAAATAATCCTTTAAGATTTGATTTCGAATTTAATTCAGTGTTCAATTACAGTGTTTATTTATATATCTATTTCCTGCTTCGTTCTGATACTGTTTCTGTCAAATTTTCTTCTAAATATTCCAACTACTATGAACGAATCTCACCCACGACAACTTCCTGTCCTAATGGAATATTTTGTAGATCAGCAAAAATATTTTGTTCCAATTTTTGTTCACATATGTGTTATTATTGTGTGTGGTCTAACTACTGTGGCAGCCACTGAAACGCTTTTTATGTCATATATACAACATACATGTGGATTATTCGAAATAGCTTGGTAATACGAACTTTATGCTTTAAAGCGCCAATTATTTTTTAATACATTTAGTAAAGATGAGGCAGTCATATTATCAATTTTAGCTGTCGCATAGAACAAGCCTTACACAAAGACACGATACAGGGTATTACATCTTTCACCAAAAGAAATTCAGTAATATGTCAAGGAATAATCAATGGGTTCTATATGTACAAAAAAGCTATCGAGTACGTAATATTCCCAATAGATAATTAAAAGTTTTTCTATTATAATATATCTATTATAATATTTGAATTAGTCTAACTTTTCAAATTTATAATCTATAACACGTTATGCGAAAAATTATATAAATTATTAACATATGTAACAATCATTTATAGTTATTTATCTAAATATTTATGTATATTGTTTATGTATATTGTTATTTAAGATTTATTGAAATTTTAAAAACAAATTGTAAATTGGCATATTCATTATTAATGCCATTGGGGGTACTGTCGCTGAGCGTTAATCTCTATCGCGTGAGTAATTATTAATCTATTTACACAAAAATTAGTATGCTTATAAGAGTTGAGTAATTAATATATTTTAATCAGATACTATCAATATAGTACCATTGTATTAAAAAATAAAAATTTTACTTTTTTCTTCCTTGTGAAAATAAAATAATTATTAATGTGCTGCAGCTTTCTCGATTGATAACGTCTAGGGAATATTACGAGATGATTATTAGCTTCACGTTCATTGTTGGCCATTTTTGGTACATGTTTTTCTGCAATTATGTAGGACAAGAATTGATCGATCATAGCAGCGATATCTTTTATAGAATGTGAGTAAATGAACATATAGATTAATTCTTAATCAATTACGTCAAAATAATCACAATCAAAGTTCTTTATTATCTATAGATCTGTTTGTTTTACTTGAGTTTTATTAAATGTAAGCAAAACAAACAGGTCTATATTATATCATGCGATCAGTTAAGAGTTAAAGAAATGTAAACATTATCGAAGTTTTCAATTATAATTTTCTAATGACAAGATTTTAGATACAATGCGCGATGGTATGTAGCTCCGTTGAGAGCACAGAAATTATTGCTACTTGTGATGCAAAGAAGTATGCGACATTGCACGATCGTCATTGATGGCTTGTTTATTCCATCATTAGAGGGATTTGCTACGGTAAAGTTTTGATAACATAATGATATTTTATTTAATATTTCCATTTTAAATTTGCTCAAATGAAATTTCTATTTTAGCTTACAAGTATGTCAATTTCATACTTTGCAATGATTCTTTCCTTGTTTTGATCACCTACGTGAAATAAAAATTGAAGCTTGAAATTCCACGATACAAGTAGTAATAATAATATACATACATATATGCTCAAATATAAATATAATAATGAAATTAATGTACTAAATTGTCTTCACTTACTATACATAAAATAAATATAGAAATGTAATATTATATTACCGGTAATTACTTCGTAACTTTTGGCTTGTTCTTCCGCAGGATTGTTCTTCCACAATTACCGCGTTTTCCATATTATGCATACAATAACTTTACGAATATAACCTTTTCTTATTATTACAAAGGAGCCAACTAATGCAATCGCTTCATGCGGGAATAGGAAAATGAAGACATATGACTCTAACGACGGAATACAAATGTAAAAGCGCCTGCGTCATAAAATGGAGAAAATTGTATATATTATCATCCCCATCACGTCTCACTATTACCAGCAAAAATGGATTATTATTACGTATAATTCATTAAACTACTTTTCTTTCATTATTCTGTAATATACATATAATGATGATAAAATAATCTCCTCTGTAAATTTCTTTTTTAATAGTATCTACACTGTTTTTTTCCGCGAAGATTGCATTTAATGCTATCTCAGTTCTCGGTTTTGTAACAAAGAAAAAAGATATTACATTTATGGACGTTTAATAAAAATAAAAATTTCCATATAAGCAACGATCAGTATTATAATTTCGATTGTCGCACAGACATGGACTTTACTGGATATCATTACTATAGAATAAATCGAATCCTTTTAATATCTCTCGGTCTATGGCCATATCATACACAACGCGTAAGATATGTCCATTGTGCACTTTTGTTTCTTCTTCTTTTATCTAATACAGTTTTTCAGGTTTGTCGTTGGTTGGGCAAATATTTAATATTTGTTTATAACTAATTATTTATTTTCATTAATTTTATTATTTTAATTGTTTTGTAATAATATATTATTAATATACTATTCTCTGACTTATTATATCGCTTATTATATTAATCGTTTTTAAGAAATAAGTCATAATTTGAGACTTTATATTACTTATTATATTATTCTTATGACAGTTATTATTAATTTATATATATATATATATATAAAACGAATGTGTCTAGGTTTCAGAATTTATATAACTAATTACTTCAGATATAAATATCAGATATTAAAGTATTATATGTTTTAATATTATGTATAACATATAAATATTTATGTAAATTCTATCAATGAAGAAAATACATTTAATTTTAGTTCTCGTCGTTTATCACTATGGAATATAATACAGATCTTCTTTTACATGTTTTATCACTCCTCTGTTTTACAATGTATTATGCAATTAAATATATTAGTGGCTTTATTAATAGCAATAAAGTAAGTTCATGAATAATATGAATTCCATTTGTGTAGTCTTGAATTGTAATGAAGAAATATGAAGAATCAGACTTTTTCTCATATATGTAATTAGGATATGCCTGTATTAGGATTATTAATATTTTGTCCTAGATGAAAGAACTTATAGAACAAATACAATATGATTGGAATTCGCTAAAAGAGGAAGAAGAACTTAAAATTATACGTAATCGTGCTAATATTGCAAGATCTCTTACAATTTTATTATTAAGTGAGTAATAGTAATAATAATAATAAGTAATAGTAATAATAAGTAATTAGTAAATAGTAATAGTAATAATAAGAATTTAATTACAAAATATGAAATTAAAATTAAATAATATAATAATATTTAAATATTGAATTATTGCAGCAATAACAAGCATAGTAATATTTCTTTTTATGTTAATGTTTTTTTCACCAAATATTCTCGATATCGTAATACCGTTGAACGAATCACGACAACCATGGCAGCTTCCACCCGCGATGAAATTTTTCTTCGATCAGCATAAATATGTTTATTTATTAACAATATATTTTTTGCTGACACTAATAATCGGTACTTTTACAGTGATAGGCATAGAAACATTTATGATAATATTTGTGCAACATATATGTGCAATGTTTCAAATCACTAGGTAATGATTTCCTGATTATTAATGGGAAAATATTGTTTCGAGATATGACATAATTAAATTTTTTTAGTTATCGAATTGAACGTATTGTAAACAAAAGCCAGATGAAATCGTTAATCTCTTCAGAAAAACTCAATAGTGATAAAAGCATCGTGGAGGCTATCGATAGTCATCTAAAAGCTACCAAGTTGATATATTGCAATTTATTAATTTCTTTCCACGAGACAATTTTTAAGAATAAAGAAAATTATGTTTTATAATATAACTATTTTTATATTCAAAACTGCTCTGCTAATTGCATTTATTTTGATATTTCTTTTCTATACTTTTATATAATGCTGAAGTTACAACAATTTTTTTACAAATTAACAAAAATTCAAATTTGTATTATTCAAATTTATGTTATTTGCATTATTCTTTGATGATTGTTTAAGGTTTGTCGATTCCCTCAAATCCACTCTCGCAGGTCTTCATTTATTTGCACTTCCTTTAGGCGTGATATCGTTAAGTGTTAATCTATATCGTGTAAGTCTGGAAGTCTGCTAATAATTATATCGTTAATACGTATAATGATTTTTAAGAAATTATAAGTTCCACAGCTATGCGTGTACATTGTGACAGAAAATATAGGCGCCATGAGTATATCGTTATTATATGTTGTCTGCCATTTTGGCTACTTATTTTTTTTCAATTATTTGGGTCAACAAGTAATAAATTATAGCGACAATGTCTTTAAGAAGATGTAAGTGCATCTTAAAGAAGATACAATTTTTAACTAAATATATATGTATAAATAAAATTTGTATAATCACACATAGCAAATTAATTAATATAGACCAATACGCGATATCACAGATGCAGTACTCGGTGGTACGCGGCTCCATTAAACACACAAAAATATTTTATGATGATAATGCACCGAAGTATGAAAACTTCCACATTGATGGTCTATGTTGGTTTATTCTTACCATCTTTAGAAGGTTTTGCCTCGGTAAAATAAATTGCTTATATGTAAATTGCCACAGTAATTTACAGAAGGAATATTAAAAATTTGTTTATATTTTTCATATCTTGTTGCAGCTCGTCAGCACATCATTATCATACTGTATGGTAATTTATTCTATACATCAACCGTAATAAGATATAACCAAATAGTAATCAACAAGTGAAATTGATAAATTTCGTGAAAAAAATATATCACGTTAAATAGAAAATAATGTTTCCGGGCCTTTAGGAATTTTAAATCTGTTATGTATCCATTAATATCTAAAATACTTATATTAAACTAATTGCGATCTAATATTTCTAAAAATTGAAATAAACAATTCTTAACTTGATTTATTTTATTTGCTCATATTAAAAATCATGATCTTTTAATATAAGATTTTTAAACATTAGAGATAAAGATTTTAAATTAGTTTCTTAAAGCACACGCAAAAAAGAAACAGATACATTTTGATGTACAATATAGATTAATTAACAGTGATTACATAAAAAGTTATGCATTTTCGAAAATGCATTTGTCGGTAAGATAATGCATATTTTGCATTTTGAGATTACAATTAAATTAGACGTCTCAACCGCTTTGATCTACGAAATCTCATCATAAATCGTGATTTTAATTCTGATAAAAGTAAATACTTGAGCAGACTCCTTTGACATGTTGCTATCCGATATGTCTTATCTAAACTGTAAATATAATGTCTCTATTCCACGAGCAGTTTTTAGAGGTGCTATCGGCATCGTTTATAAGTACGAAGAACGCATGCAACTCGTCGTGCACAAATCTTCTCGAGTGTGCCAAGGCAGAAATTAGCGCGTCCCGCATCGTATTTCACAGCTGTCGGCTAGTGCAACTATTTTGTCTAATAGCATATTCGATTCGCACAATCCTTTGTTATCCGAGTG